TTTCTCTAATCGTTCTCGAATCGAATTCGAATGTAATTCTCTGTGTTAAAAATAAAAATATTAAAAATTCTCTAGCTTCGTCATCGACTCGAGAACTATTAGAGAATTACCCTAGTTATCTAATGTAGAAATCCAAATTTCTCTAACGTTAGAGACTGTGTTTGCTGGGATATCACGAGGGTGAGATGCTGCGTTATCCAGAAATAATAGTATTTTTCTGTTTTGAAACTCCATTTTTCGGTCGAATTCCATCAGCCATTGTGTCATCACTTCACGTGTCATCCATGCCTTCTTATTTGATTGCCAATTTATAGGAAGTTTTTTTATATCAACTGATGCAAACGCTCTTGGACGAGCAGCTTTTCCAATAGCAAGTGGTTTTTCTTTTTCTCTTGCCATATTTGCACAAAATAAGAAGTAAGCCTTTCCTTTGATAAGTTACCTCCACGGCATACCTCATTTTTTAAAGCTAACGTTTTGTTTGGCAATGCTCTGAAGAAAAGGCCTGCCTCGTCAGCATTATAGATATCTCTAGGGCTATATCCGATTAACACTGCAGGAAGTTTTTCTAAAAACTGCTGAACATCTTGCATCTCCACAGCAGCACTTTCACCAGAAATGCACCGAAAAGTTACATAGTGCCCAGTCCGCCATTTTTGTAGCCAGCCGTTAGAGGCTGCAAAATCGTTTACGCCAAGTTTTTCCGCGATTTGTTTTGCCTTTTCCTGTATTACTGGCCCAGATATGGGAAAATTTTGGTTTCTGTCTTTGCGAAACCAGCCGAAACACATTTCATCAATTTTTTTACCATCTACATTCTTAAATGACCTTTTTGTTTCAACATTGTCCCCACACATCCATTTTGTCCGAATAATATCTTTATTTTTCATGATAAGCGCAGCCTTTGTTTTTCCAATTTTGAACCTAATAAGGAAAATTGGATTTATTTCTTTTAAAATTTCATACAGATACTCAGTGATGACATTTTACAAAATGTATTGAATAAACAATTTTTTATCTGGAAAAATTATGTTTCCAAGATTTGATAAGTAAAACTTACATACTGGCTAATGCCCTGACAGACAAATTATTTTCCTCATATGCGTTATTAATTTCAATTTTATCCTTCACACTAAGGTTTGATCTCCCCATCGTGTTACGTATATCCGCTACAACTGAACACAAATCACTGCGCAAACCAAACGAAATGTGTGCACGAAAAAACATCACATTTTATCCGGGGAGTCCCCTTTTTCCATTTAGCAAGTATGTATGTGAGTAACTGCTCACTAATATTTTTTATATTTTGTCCGCCTATGAGGAGTTCGCGTCCGCCCAACAGAGGTTTTTGTTTGATTTGGTATGAAAAGAAATCATCATGTCCGTTGATAAGAGGTTCGCGTCCGCTCAATAGAGGGGCTTGTGTAAATTTTATGAAAAGTAACTGTCCGCGTCGGTCAAGAGAGTGCCCGCTTAAGAGAGAGTGATTGTTCTGAAATGTATACTTAAAACTTGGTATAGGAAAAAATGTCCGCCCAAGGGAGGGGTCCATCTTATAGAGGTGCCCATTAGGAGAGGTTTCACTGTATATGTGTAATATGTATGAAATATGTATTTAAAAAGTAAAAAGAGCAAAAATGTTTTAAGCAAGGAGAAAGTAAAAAGAGCCGCACTTTGCTAAGCAAAGAGCCGCATTTGGCTTAAAGAGCCACCTTTGGCCACCGTTGGTATACAGATTTTTAATTAGATAATTGTTTAATCAATTTTACTATAGTAGGAGCTTGCAAAATTCGGAAAATCTCCTCCTGTATATACAATAGGGGTATTCTCCAAATCTTGCAAAGCCATTGCACGTAGCACGGATTGCACGGATTGCATAAATTGCAAACACACAACAAGAAAATTCATGGGAAACAACATTTCCTATCGCTGCAAAATATGCAACGTCGAAACCCATGTATATATTTTGCAAAATAGCATAGCAAGATAATAGCGACCCTGTGCTAGTTGTTTTGTTGTTGGAATTGCTACATATTTCTCTCATTCCTCTCATCTCGCTCACTTAATTTTTTTTTGCTGTCTCTTGTTATTGTATTTGATACATAATTTCGCTGCTTGCTCCCCATGCATGCTACCTCTTTGCAATGGGGTGTTCTCGTACGCTTCGAAATTTGGAATAGTATTTTTGCATTTCGTGCAATCCGTGCATCGTGCAAGACTTCGAGAATACCCCTAATGTAAATAATAATGCTGAATATGTTGCATGTGTTCCTTTTGTTGACACGCATAAATTTGATGCATGATTTGATTTGAATTTATTCGGCAATGCCTTCTTATATCATTTTCAAATATGTATAAGCGACATGATATAAACGGCACTTGCATGATGTGTTACATGTCGCTATGTTTTGTAGTTCCGGCCTTTAGTATCAGTCATACGACTTAGTTAGGCCGATCTGTAGCATCCACAGGATTGAGCTATATATCAAACTAAAGTGCAAGCTGCAGTTGCAGTTGACCGTGTTTGTCAAAAAAGTAAAAAGCGGCAGAAAAGTCGATAGTGAATAATATAATCAATTGAAAAACATTAACCATATTTCCGTGGAATTGAGATCGGAAAAGTTATTAGGTATTATTTATAGTTTTAAAATATAATCCAAGAAAGAAAAAAATAAAAATACCTGAGATCCCTTTCTTTTTTAAACACCTAGGATATCACTGACCCTGAATGACCGCAAACCTCAAAGCATTACACATTTTTTAAAATGAACGACCAAAATTAGCCGGTATACATATGTAAAATTTTTTAGAACCAGCGGTTGAATTTTTGTAATGAAAGGGTTAACCCTAAAAGTATAATCTACGTCTGCGAGGCGTATACGGAATGGGTCCTTTTTTTATTTTAACACAAAATTTACTTTTTATTTTGTTTTTTTTAAATAAATGTGATTATAATTTTTAATAATAAAACTATGTTTTATTATTAGTCAAACTCACAACTTCAATATTCAAATAAGACAGGACTAAGAATATTTTAACTCACAGGTTATCTTTTAAGTACATAAGCCTCTACGGCGTATGTTAAGGCTTTACGTTACTCCCAAATAGATTAGGCTTCTAGGGTTAAGAAAGCTTTAGTTTGAAAGTGTGATATTAAATGCTTTTCACCATAAACGGCGCCAATTTTCAATGATTATTGAGTTTCAGATTAAGACTAATGACGGTTTTCTCATGGCCCACTGCACGAAGCTTAGAGTAGAGTCATGTCTTTTAAGAACTTAAAAATTATCCTGGGTTATCAGGTGTCTAGCAATAAAAGATTAATTTTTGTCTTTCACGAAGTTCTTTAAATAAATTTTGAGCTAGGTACTCACCCGTATTTCGGGGGTTACTACTAGTTTTAATAAATTGTTAGTTTAATTTCCTATAAAATTAACCTTTAGGTTTATGTATTTTAAGAATACATCGAAAATTTGTTTTAGAGAATCAATGTGAAATAATTGCAGAAACGATTAACTGGTTTGCTGAGCAACCGAGATGTCTGCTTTTTAAATAATGTTTGTAAAACAAATCGGCAAGTACATATCGTCCCCCGCATGCCAGAAACATGAATGTGTAAAGATGAAAGTTTACGGTCCTTAATATGCTTTATTTGTTAAATGGCCCATCAAGTCGATTTACCGTGTATGTTCTTGTGGTGTGATTGTACCCACAGTATACCAGTAGAAAAAGGTTTTTGTTTTTGTAGCTGTTTCGTGGTGAAAGTCCTTTATGGGGTCCAAATTTCCCCACAAGAAATTGAGCGCAAGGATGCTTTTGCATTCCAAAAGAACGAATATTAGAAAACATTGAAAAAAAGTCTGAGATAATACAATTATATTCTACTAGAAATAAACTCGATAGTGTGCGCTAATTAGATAATGTGATAATCATGTTTAAAAACTCTTTTCAAGTTTAATTTTTCATAAAATAATATTGCGGACCAGATTGCTCTGAGCGCTTGTGTTGTTTACCAAGAAAATGCACCCCTGTTGGTTTTTGTTTCTGTATCGCATCGCGGTGTGTTTCTATTTCTTGGTAATTCCGTTTGTGAAATGGTAAACAAATTATTGAAATTTATTTATTTGATGTGTTTAACATTTGATTAATGCAATTTTCTGTCTTTTCAGACTGTTAATTACAAGCACAGCATCATCAACGGTGATTGCAAGAACTACTGCAATCCCTGCGGTTTTTCCTCTTGGTAAATGCGTTCTAGTCGTGACCAAGGGTGGTCTCCCAAATCGGCCGGGAATAAGGTTAGTCATTTTCAATTTTATATCTTTGTTCATCGACATTATATGACATGTGATCATTGCAGGCTATTGTTGCAGAACAAAACGCCACAACCACTGCTGTGGTAAATATGTTCCAGCAGTACTGCCCACCGCCGTCGGTGTAATGATTTCGATAGCTGAAAAAACGCCATCTTCTGGGCATTCCCACATGCCGACAATAGCTATTATATCACGTGTGAATGCAACTGCGCCTAAATTCGGTTATTAACAGTGCAATAGCGCCATGTGATTGGAAAAAACACTAAGGGCTGCTGGCACATAGAGGTTGTAAAGTTCTTGGAATTGATGAACTTACTCGAAGAAGACGATGGTCGAAAACATATGATGAAACATCNAAAACGCCATCTTCTGGGCATTCCCACATGCCGACAATAGCTATTATATCACGTGTGAATGCAACTGCGCCTAAATTCGGTTATTAACAGTGCAATAGCGCCATGGGATTGGAAAAAACACTAAGGGCTGCTGGCACATAGAGGTTGTAAAGTTCTTGGAATTGATGAACTTACTCGAAGAAGACGATGGTCGAAAACATATGATGAAACATCTTCTGGCATGCCTTTGACAATCGTTAAGTCAGACGGAGGCTTCACATATAGAGCACACATTTACAAAATATTTATCGTTATGCAGAACGTGCGTGCATATTCGATTCCGATTTTATGGGTCGATTACGGAGAACAACCGAACTGCAGTTGGTTGGCCAGTGGCTGAAATGGTATTACCGATGGCAACTAGCAACTGAAAGCTGGTAACTGAGTTGCTATATTGGCAACTGCATTTTTGTGACTTGCGGGAAATTTTGATTGAGATACTGTATTTCTTTTTTCAACTTCTTTTTTTTATTTGAATCACCTTGAACTTTATGAAACTTAAATATTGCTATTCATGATAAAAAACATTTTCATTTCAGTGGCGCTGTCCATCGGCAACCCAACTCAGGTTCCGTTCCATAATCGATCCATAAGTCATAATCGCACGAACTAATCAAGGCTGTCATAGAATCCATCGTAGTCCGATTTTTCGTGAAATCTACGAAAATGCTATTAAATTCGAGTAGCTACGAACGCAGTGAATACACACGTTCATAGCAGTTCAGATTCGGTGATCGCTTTTTTGTAGATTTTATGAAAAATCGGACTACGATGGATTCCGCCACCAATATGTTTTCTCCTTTGACAAGATGTTGGAGAATCGCGGCAGCACAGCCCTATACCTACTCTATGCTCTTACGCGCATATGCTAAATTTCTCGCACCTAGCTAAAGTGCTTGACAAAGGCAGAAGGCATATCTTCAGTATTATAACTTAAAGTAAAAGAGTTTAAGATATGCAATAAAAGAATATAACAGAACCAAAAAATCTCAAAACTATTAAACATAAAAAGTTGCACGAATAAAATTCATAATTTAAAATAAAATAAAATATCGCAATTGTTTTTATATGTACATACATATTTACAAAATGAATCTTAAAGCACCCACAGTAAGTCCTAAACATATAAATTGATAATAAGAAAAATAATAAATAACAGTAATCTGAACAAGTATGTCGAGAAATCTCTAAATAGTAGCGAAACTGTATCTGAATAATAACAAGTAATTTTGAGCAAAAAATACAACCGACTTTAATGCTCATTCAGGTCGTTCTGGTTACGTAGATCCGACTGTCCTCCCTTTTTTAAAATCGCTAAAAAATGAATACGTATTCTACAGAAATCAGGATACATATTTAAGGATTTTAAGTAAAAATAAACAAAGGAAAACTTGTTCGTGTTATCTCGACCAAGGTGTATCCATGATACAAAAATCTGAAGGTAAACCGCTGAGAGGCAGCCTGAACATTTTTGAAGTTTGCTAACATTACAAAAATGTTTTCAAATTTCCAATCACAAATACATTCTCATTTTCAGTCTCAAATAAACGAAAACTTCAATATTTTCATCTATTTGTTTTTTGTTTTACTTTTATTTGGCATTTGAGTTGCTCTCAAAATTTCAATTTTATAAAATAGACAAACTTCAAAAAATAAATGATGGCCGACGAATTCAGCAAGCGGTTTTACCTTTAAATATTTGTTTCATGGGTGTATTAAACAAGGCGTTATTGACAACTCAGTGCGGCTCTCTTTTAAGGTACTATTATGTAAAAAAATATAAACAATCGATTCAAAATTCATAATTTTTTTTTTCAATTTGACTTTATAGGATGATTCTTCTGAGAGCAATATCAAATTCAATCACACTTTGTTAAATACATTTTGATCTCTACCAAATAATATACTTCCTCTGTAAATATTTTATGAAGTGTTCCAAATCTGCTCCGAGCGCGTTCACTGTTGATCATTTGATTTAAATAGTTTGTCATACAATTAATACTATAGTTTGATCGGAGTTAATATATTCTTCAGTAATTAATTATATTATCTTAAAACATAAGCTTATAAGAAATTATTTAGTCTTAACATGCAGATTTTATATCGTGTTCCAAAATTCGCTCCGAGCGCGTTCACTATTGATCTTTTGATTCAAATATTGTTTGTCAAGCATTCAGTAGTGAAGTTTGATCGGAGTTTATATATTCTTCAGTAATTAATCATATTACATTGAAATATAAACGTATAATATGGTAGAAAGTTAGAAATTATTTAGTCTTAATATGTATAATTCGCTCCGTGTTCCAAAATTCACTCCGAGTGCGTCCACTATTGATCATTTGATTTAAATAATTATTTGTCAAGCATTCAGTACTATAGTTTGATCGGAATTTATATATTCTTATATAATTGATCACATTTTATTAAAATATAAACCTTTAATAGGGTACAAATTGTGAAATTATTTGGCTTTAACATGTATAGTCGGCCAGAGACAATTGCAGAAAGCTGCGACTACTCGTGAAAACTTACAATAAAAACAATGTAGATGAAAGTATTAAATTTTATTATTAAAATTAGATCCATATATAACACATTTTACATCATTTATTTGAAGTAAATCGTAATATATTTTTACATATAAGATAGTTTCCNATTGTACCAGCTGCTGGTGCGACTTCAAAAGCTATTTGAAAATTGTATGATTGTACCAGCATGCTGGTGTCGTCAGTGGTGAAACTAGCTCAATTTTCTAAGTAAAAAATGTTTTGGAGGAAATTTCTTGCACTATATAAGTCAAAGCCGTGTTTGTGGAAGATTAAGTTCACGATATTGCAGTTGTGAATTAAACAAAAAAAAAAACAATGTTTAACAAAATGGTAGAAAAATTATGAAATTTCGGCTCTAATCATTTCGATCTTTCCTCGACCTCATTTGTAAAGAAATAAAAATTGTACCAGCATGCTGGTAAGTTATATGCTTCGAGCCTGATGGAAGCTGGTGTCGCATATTTTTATACAAAAAGGTTTTTGGTTGGATAAAATATTAGCTTTTTTTCCAGACTTCATTGTTTTTCTATACCATTGCTTATTGAAAATGTTTGCGTGTATACTTATATATGTAGATGTAAGTAAAAAATTTAGCTACCATTTTTGGCCACAGCGACTTTTCTTAGCTCTTTTTTAGAACTTTTTTTAACGGAATTTTTCTACCGCTAAAAGTAATTCGCGGCAACACTGATTATCACAGTATATACAGTAATAAACCTTTTTGAGTACTCCTCGGGGGTAAAATCTGATCAGGGTTGTTAATGAGAAGGAGCATGAATTTTGTTGATTCAGAATTGTATACAAAATTACTGTGGTATGAAAAGGAGCAACAGCCGTACTATGGCAGAGTGGCAAAAGTCATGACTGTGTAATAGTGCCCGAAACTAATTGCAAAAGTGAAAAACATTGCAAATTATTGTCTATTATTATAGAGTAGTATCTATACAGATTTGCCGCTGTGGTGTAGTGTCAAGCAGTGCGCGCTTTCACTCACCAGCACCTGGGTTCAAGCCCTGGTCAAAGCAACATCGCCAAAAATATAGAAAAAAAGGTTTTTTCTTCATCAAGGCGCACGCCACAAATCGGAGGAGAAGCTCGGCCAAAGACTATCATATGTGTAAGCGCCAATCTATTATTATTATTAGTACAGATTATCATAGTTCAGTGTATAATTTGTTATATTACACCGTACATGATAATGAACTGTTAAATGCTGAAAACGCTTGTAACATGTAGATCACTCAAACTCTGGGCGGATGTGCTGGCGGCATGTGGTCTGTATAGCTGCACAAACCTTGTTTTTTTTCAAATAGACTTAAATACATATATTCGGAAATTTAGAATTTGGCTTGATAAATTCACAAAACTTACGTTTTTCATAAAAATATAATCTTACAATGGACTTTTTTTTTAAACTTACATTTAAGAAAACTCCATTCAATGCTATAATTACGATTTGAGCTTTCCAGTTTATAAAACACAAATGTTAATTATGTACTTAACTACTGTTATTATTTTTCCTTAAGGGCCAGTTGTTCAGTGCCGGCCGTGGTTTAAACTCAGTTTAAACGCCCGATCTGGCTGGTTTAAACTAAGATCAGCCAATAAATATAAGCCAGCTGTTCAATTTAAACTCAGTTTACTTAAACTAAGTTTAAACTGGCACTGAAAAACTGGCCCTAAGCATGAATATCAGCATACATTAAAGATGAATATTATACTTAACCTACATTTTGTTCATAATTATGTATATTTCAATTAACTTTTTCTAATCATGACGGGAAATTCCCCACAGTAAGTGTTGCCGTGCGCGCAAATCGAAAGAGCTGCACACAACCCAAAAGTACTCCTCGGGGACCAAATGGTGAAAAACTGCGAAAAGGTTTATTACTGTACATTGAGTTTATGGCAAGATATTGAATCCAGTTTGCTGCATACTATCCCAGAGTAGGTGATAATTGGCAAAATTAGTTGGAGAACTAGTTTACGTCGAGTTTCCTGTGGCGTAAATATTGCAGAAACTCTCAGCTTACGCAGTATAGCACATACGCTGCTCACATCCCTATTTATATGATCAGTACAGTTAAGTTTAGAGTTGAGAATAAAACTTAAATTTATAACCTTATCCGCCAAAATAAGTGAACTGGAACCTATCCACAATTTAGGAATATTATCGATATACACCACACTATTACATATAGGGGCGATTCCACCGTCACGGGCGGGACATTTGAAGAGAACAAATTATTCTTTCTTGTTTAAATTTAAGTATAAAGTTCTGAACAATTCTACATTTTGATAAAGCTACACCTAATTGACTATTATATGAGTTATTACAAAATACGAAAAAATGCCAGCTTACTTTTATATGGAAAAAATCTGAGTTATTTCTTCTGTCACGGGTGGGACAAAAAAAAGAAGCTGCTTTTGGGAGCAGATATATTTTACGAAACCTCTGCGAATTTATTTCACTTTTCTGGGTGAACTTGATGTCTTATAATAAAACAAAGAACCACGAATGCAAACAAAGCAAAAACTACAACCAAAAGGATGGCTTTATAATTAAAAAAAAAAAATCCGAAGTTCCTCTGTCACGGGTGGTACAACATTTGTCACGGGTGGGACACGTACGAATTTTTCTATGAAAAGGAGCTTTAAGTGTGGTCCATATTAAAGATTAGTTATTAAAAAATATAAGAAGCCAAGTAGGGGTTCAATTCACTCACATTTTATCTTAGTATAGTGTCTTTTATAAAGAAGAAAAAGCCCCGCACCGTCAGCAAAAAAAAAATATTAAAAATCAACGCCTAGCGTCTTGAAATCTTAACTTTTTCCTATTTAAATTTAATGCGCTGTAAAATTGCATACCTAGAATTTTTTAAAAATCATGAACAAAAAGTTTATAATTTTTGGGTGTAACTGTTTAAATTTATAATTTTTTTTGTTGAAATTTATAATTTTTGTACGAATTTTGAAATGTGGATTGATGTGGTTTTGGTAATGTAATGTGCTAGACTTTTATAAAAAAAAACTATTAACATTAAATAAACAAAAGAAAAAACCAAAACTGGTCCAATGCCACTTAACTTAATCAGCTGACCACAAGGGTATATAGGAAATGGTCGAGTCCGCGCTTC